TTAAAACCACGAAAATACATTTCCACTAAAATAAACACGTTTTCTCAGAATTTATAAAATGTCACATGTACCGTTCTGGTTTTCACTCATTCATATAATAAACATGAAAGCAATTCAAACTTATTAAAACTAAGGAAATTAAAAGTCTATATTTTCAATATAGACATACTTACATAACTTTATGCGTCGTGTTCATGTAAGGTATATTTTACACCTCCCGCACACGTGATTCTGGCTTTGATTTCCACTGAGCACTACGCTGCGTTACAAAGGGGTAGGAGGGTATTACTTAAGTGACATTCATAATTCTTTTTTTATTTTTAGCATTTGCTCATAATTATTTTTTGAGTCGTACTAAAACATTAAAATATTAACAAATTAATTTGTTTAAAAACATAATAAACTAAAGGTATTATTTGTAAATTGTTGCAATAAATGGATATATTCTTTCCTCATTTTTTTAATCTGTAAGATTATGAAGAATATATTCAAAACTGATATTAAGAATATTCCAGAATCCATTTAAATCTGCTCTGTAGACTTTCGCTCTTGCATCATAGACGACGGCGTGTGCATGACTTGTAATCAACCATTTCTTGCGGAAGATTCTTTCTTTACTCACAACTTGCTTCAATCTTATTTCTAGGTGCAGCCAGCTTCGCCAACTAATTTGAACTTTAAATATCGTTAATTACTTTAGTATACAACTCAAATAAATACAAATTGTTTTTACGGTGCTATAATTCGTTTTCACTTCTTGCACATTTAAAGGGGGGGGTGTCACAAGCGTAATTATTTATGGGGAGTTCAAGTGCGCGTTAGCAGTGTGATACGAAGGAGAGAGGGGTATTGAAAATACTCCAAATTTGCGTTACATAATTTATGTACGGCCCCCAAGTTCGACTTCAGAACATTGCAACAAGCACTATTGCTTCGACACGTTTCCCACAAATAAAATTATTTATATCGAAAACTTCACTACTCAGAAATATATGGCAGTAATGAAAGAGCTTCGACACATATTCGCATTCATAAGAACGCTTGCAAACTGCTGGCCGGCCAGCAGCAATCACAATGGCTTCTGTGAGACACTACATAGGACTTCCATCCAGAACGGCCACCTTTACAAAAGAAATCATCGAATGCACGTTTTTAATCAACAAACCTAATATCAAATGAAAAAAAACTATCTCCAAATATCATTAACAATGCATTGAATATCGTCAATAATTGACTGAACTTGTGTACTTTCAATAACAAGCGCAATTCTTAAAATTATGTTGTAGCGAGTTAGACAAAGACAGAATACTGTGATTCTCCTGAGACTCCCTCGGCCGCCGCGCGGCGCTAAATAGCACCACTAGCTGGTTGGGCAACGAAAAGCCGGTGTTAAATATTAGGGCTAAAGAGTAAATGCAGTAAACCTAGTAATACAGCCAGGAGCCGAAAAGTGGTGAACCCGGCAAAAGCACAAGACAGCGTAGGTGTAGCAGAGGTGTAAGTGGACGCACTTTGGTTTCAAAATGATTTCATATACATCGATATTGCTGCAAAATTTTGAATACCGAATGTTATTAAAAGGAAAATGTATATTCCTAAGCTATTAGTGTCTGGTCCCATGTGTAGTCCCTAAGACCTAAGAAATACAATCCCTTATCAAACCAAATCGACCTCGACATTGAGAGATTAGTGAGCGAAAGAGGAGAACGAATGGAGGGAACGAAGGCATCCTGTTTAATAGTTGAAATGAGTAAGGCGTGTTTTAATGAATTAACAAAGTAGTATTTTAGAATACATTGCGAAGGGAAATTTTACGTTGGACGGGATCGAGGTTGTTTTTAATCGTGTAAGGTGAAAGATGGAATCTCGCTATGAACTAGGACATAATTAGCAAAGCGTCAGCTTCGCTTTAAACGTATTGAATTAAATACATTTGACTGTCAGGTTCGTGTTGTCGTTCGTCGTATTCTTGCGAAAGTGAATAGATTCCTTCTCTTGGGAAAGAATGCAGTGGCCGCTAGTGTCCGAACAAACTGAAAGTTACAGCTCCATCAAATGACGGAATTGTAATTCCATAATTCAGTGCACTAATATACGTAATGTAATCAATTCATGTAAATTAATTAAACATAAGTTTAATAAAAATATGTATTGAAATATTACTTACATATTTGTATGCGTAGTGCATATTCGCATCCCGCGCACGTAGTTCTGGGTTTAATATCCAGAGTTGCACAAGCACTATTGTTTGGACGTTTTATACAAATACATTTTTTATTTCGAAAACTTCACTACCCTGGTGTATATTGCAATAATAAAATATCTTCTAAACACACTCGTATTCACAACAACGCTCGCAGAATGGCTGCCGCGAGGCCGCGAAGAAGCGCACACATGAGAGATAGAAAGGGACTTCCTTCCAGAACAGCCAACTTTACACAAAGAACTCATCAAATCTACGTTTTGAATCAACAAACCTAATATTAAGTGAAAGCAAATTATCCAAATATTTTAAACAATGAATACCGCCAATAATTGACTGAACTTGTCTACTTCCAATAACACGCGAAATACATAAAATTAAGTTACAGCGTGTCAGACGAAGACAGAATATTGGTGTTCCCCTCCGACTACCTCGGTCGCCGCACAACGCTGTACAGCGCTCGGCGACAAGTCCCCCTACCCTGGTATGTAAGTAATGTATGGTTGCGTCACCAAAGGCCGAATGTTCGCCTGTTAAAGTAAAGGGCCAAAGAGCAAATGCAGTAAACCCAGTAACAGAGCCAAGAGCGTGGTGCCATACCAGGGAGTCACCAGACGCCGGAGAGAGCGCCAGTTGAACGCTCTTTGGTTTCAAAACTATTTCATATACATTTATATTGCTGCAATATCTTGAATATTGAATGTCATTAAAAGGAAAATGAATATCCCTTAGATATTATAAAACCGTTTCGATTATCTGGAGATTGTGCAATCGTGCAACCTAAGCACGAGCTGGTACTGCCAGAATGACCTTACGTTTAGCAGAAAGTGTTGGATTGTAACCTATGCTGTGCACGTAAGCGATTCCTAGATAATTTGTAAGTTTTTTTGCTAGATTACACGCTTGTAGAGGTTTGTGATTTTTATCATATTTGTTATTTACTATGTTATTTACTCTCTTTATGGTTTATTAGGTTCTGGCTGCGCGTCTAGTTCACTGATGAAAGTGCAGATAGAAATGCATCTGTTCTGTCAAAACATGTTTTCCTTATATTGGAAAGGTATGATTGCTGGCTGAAACTAGTGGCATACTACTACTAGTACTATGATGGTGCCACTATAATGGCGGGTGAACTAAATGTACTCTAAAAGAAGGTGGAACGTAAATATCCTGATGCACTTTACATTCATTGTTTTGCTCATTGGCTTAACCTTGTGCTTTCACAGTATGTTCCAAACATTAAAGAATGCAAACTATTCTTTATGACATTAAGTAGATTCGACTTCTGTGTTTATTTTACAAATTTCACAAAAATGAACCTCAGCCTGGGATAAAATAGTTATAACATGGTTCCTGAAAGTGTGCTCTACACGTTATAACTGTATGGGGAGACTTGTTGAAACAGTCGAGGATGCAGTAATGTAGTTTAAATTTAAGACTTTATTTCAAACCATCAGTGTAGCTTTTAGCGCTGCCGACGTACAGTTTGACATTTTACAAACAAAAATGTTCGATGTTAGTTTCTGAAAGACCAAATTAAATGAAACTAAATAATGTCTTAGGTAGAAAAGAGATGAATTTGACTTCGTATCGACCTACTGCTTTAAACACCGCGAAACACATAAGAAAAGCCGTCATTGTAACGAACAACTTGGCTTCAAGACATAGTACCAAATACTATATTGTGAAATATGACATGTTACGTCACCATCT